TTGTTTTCATATTTTAATCAGTGCCTTTAAAATCTACGTACACGCAATACATCTGAACTTTTTTCTTGTTCTGGGTTTATTTTTTCAAAGCCCTAGAGGTTGTGTAAAAACTCTTAGGATTCTTGTAAACCCTTTTATTTCTCTTAAAGTTGGCAGACTGACAGGCTTTAGTTATTCTTAGTGCTAAATTATTTATCTTCCTTTTCCTTCCCAGCCCTGACTTCTGAATCTTTAACTTGACTCTTGGGATATATCTGGGGCCTTTTTTCCATTTTAAAAAAGCAGTTTTCATCTTTTGTCTTTAAATTTTTATCATGAAAATTGTACATACTTAGATATTCAAACTTTGCATCTTAAAGGTGCAGTGTCTGGATTTTATTTTATTGTCATTTTCAGTAGACTAACTTTACTCCATAAAGGACAATTTCAAATTTAACTTGTTTATGACAGCTAGTTCACCACCTGAAATCACTGCAGCAGTAGTATCTGGTGTTGAATTTTTTTTAGGGCACCAGTACTATCTTTTATAATGTATGCTAGATCAGTTCCAAGGTTATTTCCCCACAAGGCACAAATAAAAAAACAGTTACTAAGTCTTTGTTTATAGTATGTATATTCGTATTGTATACATACTATACAACAGGTAAAACAGGATTTACCATGCCAGAACATACATTTGATCCTTTAAATCCAGCATCCTACTGAACCTAATGTTACAGCTCTATAATAGTTTTGGGCATATCACTGGACTAGAAAGTGGTTAGTGGACTTTATTGGGACTTAAGCACACACTTAAGTACTCTGCTGAATAGGAATGGTATTACTCAACTGCTGAACGAGGGCCTTAATGATTTCTGGTGGGGAAGTAATAGCACAAACTTTGAAGCGGGAAAGATCTTCTTTCATGCAAATGTTACTAGTATTGAAAAAATAGTAGCAAGAAATACAGAAAATACAGGCAGTCCCCGGGTTACGTACAAGATAGGGACTGTAGGTTTGTTCTTAAGTTGAATTTGTATGTAAGTCGGAACTGGTACATATTGTAGGGGAAACTCTAGACAAACATTTCTCCAGAGCTCAGTTCTATTCTCCCACACCTCACTTCCCTCAGTCCTTTATTCTCAAGCTGAGGTGTCTGCTGAGAAAAGCTGCTCCGCATCTCCCTGGTCTGCTGTAGGGGGCGCTAGCTTCGCATCTCCCTGGTCTGCTGGGGGGAAGCAGCTAGTGCGGGGTTGCTTCACCCCGTTTGTAAGTAGGGATCCGATGTAAGTCGGATCCATGTAACCCGGGGACTGCCTGTATTAAACAAACATAACTATAAACTAAAAACAATTTTTCAGAGTTAACCATAGATGCTGATGGATTTGAATGCATGTAACTCCTTGTGCATGAAGACAGGAATATAGTATACTTCCTAGAGTACAAATAACATTTTTAGCATTTTAAGATAGATAGTTTTGTAGTCTGCAGAGTTATATATTACACTTGTGATCAGTGTAAAACCTGTTAGGTTGATATTTTGAAGAACTGTATTATTGTACTTTGCATTTTTGGTGCTATATAGGTAAAGAATGTAAGAGCAACACAGACAAAAAATAAAATACCTCCTTTTGGCTGTAAGAATAAGCATTGCCAAGCTGTATATTATTTGAAGAATTCTTCCAAAGCAGAAAGACAAATTGTCCAGACTAACAGAAAGAAATGGGGCATTTTTGTATTGTTTACCTTAATGAAAATATTCTGGCATCTAACACAGATAAACCATTGATATGTTTCTAAAGCGGAGATCTTAGGTCTCTCTGGAAGTGCTTGTTTTTGATGGCAACTTGTTTTAGATGATTTTGAAACTGGTGTGGATTCTGAGATTTGTTTGGAAGTTAGCAACAATGATATATGTAAATATGCTACATTTGGTTACATAATTCAGGCTGGAGGTGAGCTGTGTATTTTAGGATAATGAAATTTTTGTCATCTTGATCACTGCTGTGCTTTGCTACAAATCTTCTAGCTAGAGGTTGAACCCCTCTAGTGTGGCACCCTTGGGACCTGACCAGTGCCAAACTAAAGAATTTGCCAGACTTTGAGAGGTCAATATTGTGTAGTAGCATTACCAACACTTCTACTGCTTACTGGGCTCTTAGAAGACATTGAGGGGTAAATTAGAGCTAAATAATAGCACAGAACACTGAGAGCCAGGACTGGTGACTGTAAACAAACTTTATGGGACTGCAGGAAACTTGGCCACACTCATGATAAATGAACATGCGGCTAACGAAATCGTGCCGGACCATGGATGTTGCCAGACCAGAGAGTGCCGAATTAGAGAGATTTAACCTCTACTACTCGCCAACTTTTGCAGTTGGTAGGAAATTTAGTGGGTAAGACCCTGATTCAGTAAAACACTTAATCATATCTTTACTTTTAAGCATGTATGTAAATTAATTTCTACTCAGCAACACAAATTCCCATTGTCTTCGGTGTGACTTAAACATGCTTATATGTTTTACTGAATCAGGGTATAAATTAGTTGCTAGTTTTAAGTCTTTTCATTATGTTACCCCATTTTGTTCTCTTTTCAGGATATAGCATGTCCGTGTGCAGACTTCCTATAAGGACTCTGATTCAATAAAGCAAGAAAGTACATGCTTAAGTATGTGAATAGTCTCATTGACTTCAATATAAGACTTATGCACCTGCTTAACTTTAAGCATCTATTTACGTGCTTTCCTGAATAGTGATGTTTTCCTCAATCAGGGTCCATATGCTTAAAATTAAGCATGTGCTTAAATTCTTTACTGACTGGACACATGAAGAATCACATGCATTTGCACACCTGGGCCAGATTCGCAGGTGGTGTAAATCAATGGAGCTATTCCTATTTGTGCAAGCTGATGGTCTGTTGTGTTAATTTGATTCTATACTGCCTTTAACCTTATTCAGTCATTTACAAATGTGCAATATGCTCATATTTCACTCATTTTGCATAGGTATAAATGATTGCATTTATTTATAGCCATTGTGAGCAGTAGATAATCAGGCTCAGGCACCTTTATCCTGCTGTTGAGTTCAGTTACTTTGGTTAATAGAATATTGAAATCATCCATTTTAAAACTAACCTTGCAAAATGCAAAAAGTAAAATGTAACATACTAACAAATACAATCTGAAAAATTCAAGTGTATCAGGTATGAGCTCTGCTAGGAGAGAGCTATAAAGTGGTAAAAACATTGTGAAAATCAGCATGCACGTGAGTACAGGCAATCCCCGAGTTACGCGGATCCGACTTATGTCGGATCCGCAGTTACGAACGGGGCCATCTCCCTGGTCTCCAGCAGACCAGGGAGAGGAAGCAAAGCGGCGGAGCACGCGGGCAGCGGACAGCCCAGACGCGTCTGGGCTGTCCGCTGCCCGCGTGCTCCGCCGCTTTGCTTCCTCTCCCTGGTCTGCTGGAGACCAGGGAGATGGCCCCGTTCGTAACTGCGGATCCGACATAAGTCGGATCCGCGTAACTCGGGGATTGCCTGTACTCACGTGCATGCTGATTTTCACAATGTTTTTACCACTTTATAGCTCTCTCCTAGCAGAGCTCATACCTGATACACTTGAATTTTTCAGATTGTATTTGTTAGTATGTTACATTTTACTTTTTGCATTTTGCAAGGTTAGTTTTAAAATGGATGATTTCAATATTCTATTAACCAAAGTAACTGAACTCAACAGCAGGATAAAGGTGCCTGAGCCTGATTATCTACTGCTCACAATGGCTATAAATAAATGCAATCATTTATACCTATGCAAAATGAGTGAAATATGAGCATATTGCACATTTGTAAATGACTGAATAAGGTTAAAGGCAGTATAGAATCAAATTAACACAACAGACCATCAGCTTGCACAAATAGGAATAGCTCCATTGATTTACACCACCTGCGAATCTGGCCCAGGTGTGCAAATGCATGTGATTCTTCATGTGTCCAGTCAGTAAAGAATTTAAGCACATGCTTAATTTTAAGCATATGGATGAAACTGATCAGTTTCAGCAGCGGCTGAATCTGGATGCCAGTTCCGACTTACATACAGATTCAATTTAAGAACAAACCTACAGTCCCTATCTTGTACGTAAACCGGGGACTGCCTGTATATAGGGGTTTGTTCCTTCATTATGGAATTTTTGGTAATTATTTCAGTGGGAGCAGGGTTGGACCTGTAAAGCACACCTTTGCTTCTGATTTCCTCTAGCCAGTACTGTCATGATACTCAGGCAAGTTGGAGTATGCAAAACTAATCATATTAATTTTAGGGCTTTTTCATTCTTTTAATGTTTTTTTTACCAAGTCTTGGAGTGTCTCTTTGAAAAGTGGTTAAGAAATGTAAATTTGATTGATAGGTTTTCTGATCACTCTATATGTGAAAACAACAAGGACTCCTGTGACACATTAGAGATTTAACAAATTTATTAGAGCACAAGCTATCGTGGGTAAAATCCACTTTATCAGTGAATTGGAGTGGACGTTACAGACGCAGAGGTATACATAAGAGCAACAAAAGAAAGAAGTTATTTGGGTTAATAAAACTAATCAAGTCAGGGTGGATGTGGCTCATTCATAGTATTGTGGTGATGTGAATATCACAAGGGGGGACATTACCTTTCTAATGCATTAATCAGTTAAGATCTTTATTCAGTGTTCCTCTACAGATTTATGTGTTACCTTTCCTGATGTTTGATTTGTGTCCATTTATCTTTTAGCGTAGAGACTGTATATGTTCTCATATATATGTTCACATGTGTGTGAACATACTTAACATGTATGATACTTGGGTGGATGTTTGAAATGCTGTTATACTATAGAAAAGTTAGAAACTGAATAAAGCAGTAAAAAGTATATTGTAATGTAAAGTCCTGTGTGTCACATTGGTGGCTCTCAAGCTCCAATTTCTATTAGTATCATTTTTAGTATAAGTATTACGATAACTAGACCTTTTTTCCCCTTTGTTCTGCAGGTCTGAATTGACAGCTAAAGGGTACAAGTCAAAACAAGATCAGCACTCCATGAAGAACTTTAGGGTATTGCCTGGTAATTATTTCTAACTGTTTGTGTTATATCAAGTGAAGTGTTTTAGAAGCTGAGTAAAGTATGATTTCAGGATTAGAATAACTGGGCCATGATGATGATCATGACCACTTGTTTTTATAACGTTTGCACACCATTAAGTGACAGGCTACTCGTAATTTCCTAGTGTGTTGTTTCAAAACCACATTATTTCCTCAATATGTTGTGTATCACAAAATTATGATAGTTTTAGGTTCTTCTGAAGTAATGATTCTCTTGTTCTTAAATTACTATTTGTTTGGTGTCCTCCACAACCCTTATGATTTGTCTTGGATCTGGTTATAAGCAAGGACATGGAAGCCTTTTAACCTCACACTCTCAGTGACACCAAAAAGTAAACAGAATGAAACATGGAAGGGAGCTCTCATAGTAGGAGCTTACTTTAAAAATCTTTAGTGATTGTGGAGGTGTGGCAATAGCATGGTGGGAGACGAAGAAATCTGCATTTGAAAAGATGTTTTCTCTTTCAACCACACTTAAGAGGAATAAGTAATGTATTCTGCTATCTCATGATCTCTTGGGGTTAGAACCTTGGCTGATGTAAATCAGTGTATCTGAGTTGAATCAATTGAGCTACACATATTTACATCACCCATGGAGTTAGCCCTTGATGTCCAAGGTGTGTTGGTAGGGGGAGGCAGCACTTTACTATTTCCTGATTGGATGGGAGAGATTGAAAAAAATATCCTACTGGGATTAGAAGAGACTTTCTTCATACATTGTAGATTGTTACATTTTCCATTTTAAAAACTTGTTATTGTATCCATTTATAAAAACTATTCTTGTGAGTGTTCATCAAAAAGACTGCTGCTAGTGTAGTATTCTCACTCTTCTGAAAGTGAAAGACATTTCTGCATTTCTATGCTTGAAGCTTCCCAAGCACACAGACTCAGTGATGAAGTGGAAGACCAATTTTTATTAACTACTATTCTGTTATCACACATGTGCATTTTTAATGGTGAAGGCAATTAACCATTGGAACAGATTGCCAAGGGATGTGGTAAATTCTCCATCACCTGGAGTCCTTAAACCTGGATTGTATGTCTGTCTAAATTATTCTCTAGCTTAGTTCCACCAAGTCAGAATATATGATCATAACTTTAAGTACACCTGCTTAAAATCTATGCATTGTGAATTAAAAAATACACAAAAAATAGGTGTTTCAAAATGTATGTGACTGATGTTGTATATTACGTTTCTGTCTTTATTGACTGTTGTTAAAGGGATAAATTGCAGGCCATAATTTGACTGGTCTATTCAGGGGATCATTGTCATCTGCTATACTTGCTTTCTTGCTTCTATTTCATTTTTAAACTCATTACTATAAAACTATAACTTTCTTTTTTACTTTTGAAGTTAGTGACCTCTGAAGGTTTTTGCATCTCTGAAAGTTTCATTGATGGAAAAATACCAGGTATCATATTCTGGAAAGCCTATGGCCCATTAACTTATGTCTGTTAATGGCTGAAAAATTCATAAACCTTTACATAATGATTTTCTTTAAGTACAGTAGTATTAGTTTTTATGATAATTTTACTGTTATTTATGATCCCCAAAAATGTCCATTGAAAAGAGAGGGAATCACATAGAAAGCCTAATTTGTAGGTACTTTAATACCGTGTAGTAATTGTTGCAATCTCTATTAAAAATTAAGGTTACAAAGGCTGTCTTTATAAACCAAGACTAATTCTGTATAAGGAAAGATATATGTTTTGAAATGATTTCTTGGGGATCTGCAATAATTCATTCATAAATTCCATTCATTTTCTTTCTGGTTTGAAAATATTTTAATCTGTACTGACCTGAAGAAACTCAGTTTGTTTGGGACCAATTCCTCCCTGATCTGATTATCAATGGCTTTTCAGAGCAGTTGGTACACACCAGGAATCAGTTTTTTGAGGCCATGTCTTCTTCACTCTAAGGAAGATCAACACTGCCAGGATCGATCTTCTGGAGTTCGATTTAGCGGGTCTAGTTAAGATCTGCTAAATTGAACTCAGAGGGTTCTCCTGTCAGCAGCTGGTACTCCTGCTCATGTGAGGAGTAAGGGAAGCCAATGGGAGCATTTACTCCCATTGTCTTCCCTCTGTGGGGACGGCCGGGAAACTCAAATCAAGGTATGTCGACTGCAGCTGTGTAATTAACGTAACTGAAGTTGTGTATATTGACTCGACCTTTCCCTTTAGTGTAGACCTGACCTGAACCTGATCTAGTAAATGCTATTTCACATGTATAACCTTTACTTATAAAAGTAGCCCCACTGAAAACTATGGGACTATTCATGCAAAAAAAGAAAAAGAGTGTATGATTATATTGTTGTAGGATCGGGAGTGCAAAGTACTACTAGATGTGATGTAAGAAACTATTCTATTCTGGCCCAATGTATGATGAGGGATTAGATGGCATACACACACACTCATACAGTGAATCAGTGGAGACTAAGAATGGGAGAAAAAAAACTTGTGACAAAGAAATTTAAAATGGACTTTAAGTACTTGTCAGCATAAAAACTTGAGTGCTTGTGATAGGTTGTGAATCACTACTCTGACAGGTCCTGCTGGCTGTCCTGGGGTTGCTCTGTATGCCAGTGCACCCTCTTCTGGTGATGTCTAACTACCATCAATTCTGCTCTAGGGACGTACCTCACTCCCAGGACTACTGCATTGTCTTCATGACTCAATCCTCCCATTGTGTCACACTTAGTGTCCCTCCTCCTTTCCCTCACCTCGTGTTCCAGGGGATAGTATCGGAGTCCCTCAGTCCAGGTACTTCCTCAGTAGCAAGTGGGGCAGAAAACTGGGCCCAACCACTACTCCAGATTCCAGCCAAGGGACCCCGTACAAGAGTCATCATTTGCTGAGTCCCATCCAACTCTTCCAAAAGCAAGAAAAAAACAAAAGAAGAAAGTGCCTATAGAGATTCTGATGTGGTCTAGGGAAGGGTTGGCTAAAAAAAATGAGCTGTGCATCACACCAAAATAACTTGGTCTTTCTGATGCACCACCAGGTGAGGAGTGTTCCACAGCCAAAGACTCTCCATAAGTATATCCTGCCTTTCAACCTTAGGGGTTGAAGTGTGCACGGGGACAGATGCAAGGTTAAATACCTGCCCCATTGAAATCAATGGGGGTTTTGCCATTGACTTCAATCAAGTTAGGATTTCATCCACAGTCTTTTACCCAGCCATGTCTCCGTCAGATAGGGCATTGTACTCAGCGGGGAACTAGGACAATGTCCAGTGTGTCCAGATATTCCATTCTTCCAAGAGTTGGCTGCTCTAAGCAGGCAGGTTGATGCAGCTTCTGAGTGATCTGAGTGATCCTCAGAAGGCCAAATTGCAGTCGTTGATGCTGTAGATGACAAAGACCGTCATTAACTCAAATGTAGGTTATATTATATTAATTAAATTCCATGCATTTTTATTAGAAAAGGCCTCAACTTTATTTATATAAAAAATTAGAAACTGACATGGCAAAACTGCTATGTGCCCGAAATGAATTGCGGTGGGTTTTTCCCCTTCACTTTTTTCCCCTATTTTAATACAATCACTCCATTTAAAAAAAAAAAATAGTACACAGTGTCGCATTGCTAACACTGGTTATATAAAAATATTCCATCAAGTATAGAGGATTTGTCTTTATTGCAAAATTAACTCAAATCATAATTCAAGTGTTGTCCGTAATTTAAATCCTCTCAACAAACAACACCCCTTAACTCAAGAATGGTGCTGCTTTTATCTCGGTTTGCTGCCCTGTCAAGGGGCACAGGCTACCACACAAGTTAGTACAACTCGTCAGCTACTAACACAATCTTGGAACAGTAATCCAGCATTCTGTTCTGCTCAAAAGTTATTTCACAGCATGGTCACTGTCAGTCAAGCTGGGCTAACTCAAGAAGAGTGAACTTTAGTGTAAATAGCTTAATTCTGTGAAGACATAGCTAAAGGAATACAAGACTTTCCTATGGAATGAATTAAAGTGTCTGATGGTCTGTAACTGAAACTACACCTTTTGGGCCAGACTGTGCTGCTGATTTTTAAGCCAAACTCTCCCCATTGATCATACTCATGATCTGGCCTTTGTTTGTTATTTGAATGCTACTATGGGTCATATTCTCTGCTCAGTTTGACTGCTACTCTGCAATTACACTGAAGTAATAAAAGTTGAATGGGTGCTTCTAATAAAGAAGATCTCTTGGTAAGATGTTCAGAAAGCAGAATTTAAATAAAAAATACCTTGCTTCAGGTTTTCTCAAGTAAAAACCCAAAGGCTTTTTTAATTAGGTAACTGAAAATAAACAGTTGATATATTTTACAGTAAAAATCAACCCAGTGGTCTTAGGCTCTGTTTTATAAGAAAGTTTTGACCAGTCCTTCACTGGTAATTAGCAGTCTTCTTGCATTTGTGGTTTATTGCAAAAATACTGTATCTTTTATTTTAAGATTGGAGCAGAACACTTTCCCAGAGCTGATTTTAATTACTCTTCAGAAAGCTGCAGCTGAAAGCAGCTGAAAGCAACTGAGAGCACCCCTCCCCACAAAGCCCTTCGTGCAGTCTATTCAGGGATCATTTGACAGTACTGCAAGAATAGGCTTCTTGTGCTGTTTAAAGCTTTTAGAATTACAACCCACAGGTCTGCGTAGAGGGCCAATTACATCACATAGCACAAAGAGAAAAAAATCAACTTATTTTTCCCTGGTAGGAATTCTTCCTTGAATAAGGCAAGGTGTTTCAGGCAGCTAGCTTAATCCTTATAAACAGATCTGTATTCCAGGGAATGTTCTTAACTGATGCATTGTAAAAATAATCACCTCATTCCAAGACAGGATAAACAGTATAATGTAAAGAGATCTCAAGGACAAAAATTGCTAAGATAGCAAATGCATACTTTTTATACATCCAGTGTATATATATTTATTTCAGGTTCTGTGTTTTCGCTGTTGTCAAGAAAACACTCCACAACACA